GTCACAGGAAGTACTTGGAAAAAACAGAGAAGCTTGATAATGCTCAGAAAAAGTTCTGCATTACTACACACTTTACTGCCTCTAACACATTGTGTCGAATGAGTGCTGCATTGACTGCAAGGCTAGGACTTTGAAATGATGACCAAAAACATGGTTAGACCAAATGATTCTGACATTTACGTCCATTTGTGCATTAGTGGGAAAGAGAGAGGCGCAGAGAGTGCAAGAGGGGGGAAAAGGATGATGACTATATAAGAAAAAGAATTTCAAGGCTGTGCTTCTTCCACTTTACCCTGTGTGACAGATTCTGACCGTGAGCTTTGAGTTCACCAGACCCAAATCAAACCTGCATTAGTAAGAATCCACACTGTAAATCATTCTTTACAAAACAGATCATGTGTCCAGAGCAAGGATAGATTAACAGAATACAGCGTCAATCTCAGCTAGCATATTATAGTTTATGACAGCAGTATGTATTTGATTTCTCCCCACAGCAACACAATAAACTGTACAGTAAGTTCACATTACATCTAATCCACTTGTCTTGCATTTGTGTGACTGGTCAATGCACAATGCTTGCAGGTGATCAACACAAGAAAGACTGTTAATTTTAGCTATTTTTAAGCTCTTAATACGCAGCAGTAAGAGCTTAAGGACACTGCAATGTAATGTGTCACTGTGATTTGTTGACTGCATCCACAAACACAGCTGAGTGAGTTAGGTTAGCGGGAACTGGAAAAAGATTTTCTGTCACCATCCCTGTCCAAAAACAAAAGTTTTAGTTCATCTCCAAAACACAAATGAATATGGGGTTTTTCTTTCAAACTACTCATCACACAATTTTGTTTCTGTGTGATGTTTTGAGATTAATAATGTGCACCAGAAGGCATTCTTCAACAGCCCTGTTGGCAACAGGTATTCCTTGACCTTTAACAGTAAACAATGTTTAAATCATACTACCTGAAAACACACTTTGCTTGTTTTCCATTTGTCTGAAAAGATTTAGACCAATTTATATAATTTTTAATCACAAAATATTGTGCATAGATAACAATCTTAGAATTCCTTTATTGTTCGAGCTCTAGCTGCCAATGGACTGATTCTTATAGCGCTTTTCTACTCTCCTGGAGCACTCTATACATGCTGCATTCACCCAAGCACTTTGTTCTCTTAAGCTAATATTCACACACATTCATACTCCAATGGAGTTAGTATCTTGCCCAAGGACACTTGGCTACTTGAATACTGGGAACCACCCAACCTTCCAATCAGTAAATGACCTGCTCTACCTCCTGAGTTACAGCCACCCCATAGATGTAGCCTGAGTTTAGATCATGGAGGCACTTAAGTCAGCACAAGGCCCCGTTGGCTTGCACGACTGTCATGCAGTCATGCATGCAGATTTCAACTGTGATCATGGCACTTAAAAGAATCATTTGAGTCATTTGGTTTGCCAGATGTGGCCCACACATGGGCCAGCACAAGGCCAGTTGCCAGTTGGACTGGTGGTCCTGTGCTGGTCCATGTGTGGGCCACATCTGGCAAACCAGATGTGGGCCACCAAAGGGCCGTCATTCTTTGCGGTATGTGGGCCTATGTAAGTTTTGTGCACCCACGGGCCAGTTGCAGACACACTGCTGGCCCTGTGCTGGCCCAGAACAGTTTCAGCTCTGGCATCAGATGTCAGTCTAATGTGTACCTTAATCAAGCCATGTAATAACAACATGCGCCAGAACATGCAAAACAGTGCAAAAGTAACGTGAAAAAACTCTGTTCAGACAGTGAATTGACTGACTCTTATATAGCGCTTTTCTAGTCTCCCAGATTACTCAAAGTGCTCTATACAACATGCCACATTCACACACTTTCTCTAAACTGAGTGCTTCCTAACTACATTCACACACATTCACGCAGACTAGAGGACCCAGGGATCAAACCACTAACCTTTCGATCAGTGGGTGACCTGCTCTACCTCCTGAGCTACAGCCAACCAGTGGTACACATGAGTAAACCCTCACTAGGTTTTGGATAAAGTTTACACTCACAAACCTGTCAAACCTGCATTAGAAACGTTGGCTACCATAGCAGTATAGTATTGCAACATGGCATTTTGGTCTTCTACCTAAAATAGGAAAATAGGAACATAAATATCATTGCCAGACCTGGCCCACATCTGGTTGACATACACCCTGCCATGACACCAGCCAGTCAGAAGTGCCAGCTTGATGCTGGATCCGGGCCAGACCTGTTTTCTATGAGCCTGGGCCACATAAACCAAAGCACAATCAAGCCAGATGTGGCATGCCATCACATAAACAGTGCCATCTATGCCAGGCCTAGCCCATATCTGGATGGCATACGTCTTATCATGTCAGAAGTCAGCCAGCAGTGCCGGCTTGATACCACATCCGGGCCAGACCTCCTTACTATGTGGGGGGGTTTGCATGTCGGCATGCAGACTGGGATCCAAACACTAAACTTCTGATTAGTAGATGGCCTGCATGACATTCCACGTTATTCAACATTGGTACAGTTTCAACACAATATCACAGCAAAGCATGTCATGTCAGACGCGCCAGTCCACTGTGTCCATTTCACACTTTGCCTCTCCAAAGCGTGAAATGTACTCACACACAGAAGTTGCAGTACCAACAGGGGAGATCATTTATTTAAAGCTAAGAAGTTACTATTGTGCAAGGAAGGTATGACGTACATTTCAGGGTCCTTCTATGCCAGAAATGATTAAGCTAGATGGCTAATATGTATTTATATGTAAATGTGTTCGTAATGTCTGCCTGATTATTTTCATGTTTACTTGAAATAAAATATCTCTCTGCAGGTCCTGCAGCTTACTGCAACTTCTGCATGTGTGTCCATTGAATGCTGTGGACCGTTATGTCTGTTACAGGGCCAAGTGTATCCAAGCCACTGCTACAGGAGCAGGTCCTGGGTAGCAGCAGAGATGTTATCAGAGTGGCATGTCACTCAAAGAAATCTGAATTGAGATTAGAATTCTAAAACGAAAGCATCAATCATATTTTGCTGGATGTTCTGTATATGTAGTTTTTATGTCTCCTTGACCACTGAAATAAAAGTTAATTCAGATGTTGCTTCCAAATATGAGCAAAGATGTATTTCAACATGGCTGCTTAGTAACAGGACTTGCTTGTATTTGTCTTGGTGCTGGTGACATCTGGCTCTCAGAGTAATAGTTAATCACGAAGGGTAGCAGAGGGCATCTTTTAGTGTTAAAGTTCAGTTTCTTTAGCTTCAATATGTTGACAACCGGTCAAGAGAACAAGATCGGGGACAGCCAATAAATATGCATTTACATGTGTTTTAACTTAAAAAAGAGTAGTCTTTACTTTGTATATTATTATTTTTAAAGGCTCCAGATGTGATTAAACTAATGAAGTTGATAAAGAAAATATTGTCCAAGCACACACATCTTTTAACTGTGGGAGGAAGCTGGAATACCTGAAAAGCAACCCCCCCCCAGGAGATTTGAACCAGGAACCATCTTCCTGTGAGGCAACACTGCTAACCACTGCAGCTACTCTATGTTTAAAAGAGATGCTTTTTATTCTGGTGCAAAATCAACCTTTCTAATGGAGTTGGACGCTATAAAACCCTAACGTTTAATGTACAGTGGCATAAAGCTGGAGCACATCCTCATACTGTGTTGAGTTTTGCAAAAACGCCTTGAACTGAAATCATTACACAATTACAAACACTGTCACAGGATTCTTGTTAATAATGCCAATGAATAGCAAATGCTGCTTCCACCCTCCCTATCAGATAATTATGCATTTACAATGTGTTATTGTGTGGAATATCAACGCTTTCTTCTTATGCTGAATGTATAAATAGAGAGAGGGTAAACTAAATTTTGTGTCTGATGTTTTGTCTAAGTCACTTCTGTAAGAAATGACTGTACTGCATAACTGAGATTTCCACATTGTGTGGGAGAATAATCACGATAAAATAATCCTTTCAGAGCTGACACTCACACTGCCCACACTGTTATCATTAGCCTACCAGTTGGTCTTCTTGAATTAGAAACATGCTGGATCTGCATGTCCTCTCATCCTCAGCCACAGGCGACAACTGACATAGCTCCTCTGAGCTCACAACTCCTCACTGGAGCGGAAGATACAGTGCGTACATCCCCGCATGAGACTGCAACATACAGCACGTCTGACATCTCATCAACCTTTGCATTTAATGTCGAGATAAGCTCATTTTCGGCCAACGTAACCTTGACTGCTTTTCTCCACAAAAACCTCCATCCAGCTGTGCCAGTGCGGTCTGCACAGGCACATCCAGTCCAACAGCATCGAGGTATTCCTTCATCAGTTATGTCTGACTGGCACAGAGCGAAAGCCACATTACATGTCCAGTCATTCGTTATGTGTCTTTTGAAGCCCACAGCCCCCCCGCAATACCCTAGCTTATTATTCACAATCTCTTTGGGGAAATCCTTCAAATTTCGACACACCTTCTCTTTAGCTCCACTGGCTTCTTGTCAGCACTATTTTCTTTGCTAGCGGCTCGGCGCCGATCACATCCACAAACTTTGACTTGCACTGATATTGATGACGCGTTGCGTGGAGACATTTAACCGATTTCTGCTGAACACATCGAAGATTTTCGTCAAAATATGTTAAGGATTTGACAGCTTAAGAACAGAGCAATACCACCTCAAATCAGCCGACAATTTGAAAGGCGACAGCAGCATACATTCCCACGCGCGAGCCTGGCACGTTCTCAGGGCTGCCGCTGGATCTTCCATTAACGCCGCTGCAGCTCAGGGCGAAATAAATGTGAAGCATACGGCTGTTAATGACAGCTGTCACATTACGAAGCGCGTCTAAAGGTATCACCGGGTATCGTTCTGTTACCGGTGTGACTCATTCCAAAACAGGTAGCGGATGTATTGATAAACTGTTGTATCCTGTCACGCGCTCCAACCTGAATCTATCAATTAAAGCACATCTTACCTCTGGCAGCTCCTTACACCATCGCTGAAAGGACGCACCGGCTGCTAAATCCAAAAGCACGTCGGTATCTGGAAGCAAAGCGATGACTACAGAGTCACCGGTGGAATGTGTGTGTATGTGTGTGACTCGCTTGGATGTGCGTTTTTGCGTGAGCGTGGATGTGGGGGCACGGGTGGCGCAAGACAGCCGTCCGCAAACGATAAATTACCAACAGGCAGCCAGAATGACACCGGAAGACCGGCGGGTTACAGCAAGTTTTAATGAATTAATGGCTTACCTACCAAAATTAGACTGGGGTCTTTCTGTACTATCCTCAGGTCATCCTTTGACAGAGGTGTCGTTATATACGAGCCTCCAGGCAGACATGTGTTCGAACTGTTTCATATACACCTAATGCAGATCTGCTTTTTTTAACGTGTAAATGCCCTAAACAGCATATCTAGCCTTTGGCAACCATGTGACACCAACAGTGACTACTGCAATCAATAATTCAAAATCAGTCCAAAATATTTGAGTCTTTTTCTGATAGTGATACAGCATACATTTATGTAAATACAATCATGTGTATTTTATTTTGAAACAGAAAGGAAGTGCAATTTTGTTACTGCAACAAACTTAACTCCGGGGGAAAAGGGACTTGGAGAATTGAGGGTTAAGATAAAGGAAAACAGGAATCTTAGTGTGTTGATAAGGTTTTTATTCAATGTAATTTTGAGCAGAGACTCCATTTCCAGCCTTCTACTAAACTATATGCAGCAATTTCTCATTTTGCTGTATCAGTTTATCATAGAAATGTCTTTATGTATAAATTTGGAGGTACACAAAAATTATGCGTGAGGTATATCATTTTCATGTATTGAGTATAATGCAATGGAGCTCTTGTTCATTACTGTAAACACACAGACATATAACCAATTTAAATGAAGTTGTTCACCTGCTCTTTTAAGTGATAAACTAAATGGTTGTCTGTCTTTCTTTGCCAAAACCGCTAATGGTGAGCTATAATTGTTTATAGTCTGCTGGCGATATTCACATGTTGGTGAAATCTTAAACGCAGACAAGCTTGGTTTTGGCTTCATTTTTAGCCCTTAAATGGATGTGGGCACAAATTATTTCATCATTTCCATATAAAACAAATTCAAATTCAAATTTTATTTGTCACGTACACAGTCATACACAGTACGATATGTAGTGAAATGCTTGGACAACTGCTCGTGACCTAAAGAAAACAAAAAAGGAAAGGCTATGAATAAGATAGGAAATAAATATGAAAAATTAAAAAGGGTAAATTTAACTAGGAAGGAATAAAATATAAATTAAGGTTAAAAATGAAATAACTGTACAACACAAATTAGAAACATCAGGTTATACTGGCAATGGAAAAACACAGGAAAAAAAGTAACACTAGCACAGTAAACACATAATAACATGTAAATCAACACCACCAGTGCTAACTTATGTGATGAATGCTAATGACACAAAGACACCTTTGCCAAGTAACCTTAAGCGTTTTGAATTAAACTCATAGTCAATAAACTTTAAAGAAATATTGCGTAACTGCATAATCAACATCTAATTAATTTTTACTATTAACCAAGTTTATCACATGTTATGGCATGCAATAGAACGGTTTAATTTACCTACAGCAGCACTGTTGTCTGTGTTCAGTCATGTTATATATGTAAGATGGGATAAAAATGTCCAATATTATATTTCCTAACTCATCTTAAATTCAATTGTTCCATCTGCTTGTGTACAGCAGTGTACATGTGAATGTTTGATTATGATTTGTAAATGGTTTCTATGAAGATACTCATTTGTTCGAGATGTTTAATGTTTGTGAAAGAGTTATACTTCATGCTCTGGAGTCTGCTGTCCTTATGCAGAATCAGATGGGGCTTTCTGAGGTATTTGCAGTATTTGCTCCATAAGCCTTGTCTCAGAAAAGTATCTGTGTGTCTTTCCTGCATCATATAAAGGATAGAACAAAAATCACAAGAGTCATAGACGGAATTTTACAAAACATATTTATTTTTCTAAAAACAAACCAAAAGAATAAAACAATTAATAAATATACCTGAAAGAGGTAAGCTAAATAGGGCAGGTTCTCCTAAAACGTGTTAATTCTAACATCGTTAGGGATGGGAATCGTTCTTGTAGAGAACCAGTTCCCAATAATCAAATTCCTTGGAATTGTTACTCTGCTTGTCTGGAACCCGCTTATCGCTTCCAGTCGCACTTGCTCTACAGTTAGCTGAATTCAGTTTGTGTGGATAATAGTGGCACAGTCTACAGCATGGATATGGACATAGCTTTATTTTTCACTTTTTTGCACAAGAGGACAAAAGCACAGTGGTATAGTGGAAACTGCATCCTGGATGAAAACAGCTGCATTATGCATAATTTTCGCTCTTAGCAAGGACCAATGACTGTAGAAAAGACGGACGACCTGGCTGCACCTGGCTCCTATTGTACAAAAAAGGAAGCCTAAAATTTCTTGCTTGTGGGAGCTGCCATGTTATAATTTTAGAGCCAGTTTCTGCAGTAGTGACTTGAGGTGGACTGGCTGTGTCACGCTCCTGCCCACAAACCTGCTGGACATGTCCACAAACATGCCCCCCTACACTTTTATTTACACTCCATTTTATCTGCAGATGGGTTTACTTCATCTGACGACTCGTTAAATTATGCTATTATGAAAAAGAAACACTGCTAATCATCTTATAGTTCTACAACATCTAACATCACTCTGTTGTTAATTTGTTTGCTATTAGTCGTTACTATACTGTATTACAGGCTTGTTGCTAGCTAGTTAGCAATGATGCACAGTGAGTGTGCAGTTGGATGGAGGGAGGTACAGTATCTGGGGTACCACTTGTGGGGTGGGCAGAGAAAACAGCAGCGATCGCATCCTGCCTGCGCCCCAAGACCAAAAAGGAAGTGAGACGGCCCTTGGGGTTGGTCAGGTCCGCAAACCCAGGCACCAACAGGCGGAAGTACTCCGCCAGCCCCGAGAACCCCGGGTCTGCCTGGTCCTGCCAGATTTGGCCAGTAATGCTGCACTAATGAATAAGACTAACTAGTCACCAACTATTCACTTAGCTAGCTAAAGTTATTAAGTTAGCTAAAGAGTTGGGATGCTGCGTAAGACATAAATAAACCTGAAATACAATGGTTTTGGACATTCTTTTGCATATTTCCCTACTGTAGGGGTCTCTGCAAGCATACGGGGCTCTGAGAGGGTACAGGATGACAATTTTGGAATTCTACTGGAAACAATCGATCATATTTTTAGCTAACAGCTACAACAAGCATAACAGTTACTGTTAGGTTATTATTTGTTTACATGATGCTTTTTCTTATACAGGTAATACATTTATTAGACGGAGGTTCTGAAACGGGACTTTACTGGATTATTAAATACTGTAAACTCTCTGAATGCAGCTGTATTCATCAGTGGACCTGTACCGCCCGTCAGAGGAGGAGACGAGGTTGTTTGCACTGAATAAATGGCTTATATCAGCATGTGCTGACCACTCAGTGCATTTTATCAACAACTTTAATATTTTTTGGGAACGCAGGCATCTGTTTAAAGCAAATGGATTTAATTTTAACAAGTCAGGGGTGAAACTGTTCACCTCCAACTTGTTTTATTCCATACGTCATCCATCTGTGCTTGGTGCCAAGGCTGAGATAAATGAGGAGTTATCTCATAAAGAGGAACAAACAGTACTCCAAGAACAGACAAAGCCCAGCAGAAACCTTGAGGAGGAGCCTCATCTGCCCCCACCTGGGATGAGCTTCAGAAAGGTGAGACATCTGAGGCAAGAAGAGGGGTCCCTATTTGTCTCCACCTCTCTCAACAACACCAACGACCAGGACCAGGGACCACGACCTTCCCCAGTCCCCCAAACCCCTGACAAGTCATCACCCTCCTCCCCCTCCCTTTCTCCCTCAGATCTACTCCCCGGCCCAATCCCTTTTTGTCCCCCATAAACCCCCCACCAGAGCAGCCAAAGGTTCGCCATCGAGCCAAAACGTATGACGCCTTTTGTATGGCCTGCTTTAACAACGTGCTAACCTTATTTACAATCAATATTGATGTAATAATGATACTAAATGTACCTCCTGACCCAGTATGAACCTTCCAGATCCCTCAGGTCATCTGGA